CATATTTCTAATCCTCAATACATATACAGTCTAATGGGAACATCAATTTCTCAAACAAAAATAATTATAAAATTACCCTAATCCTACGGGATTCCTCCTCTACCCAATTTCCTCATGTAACTCTACACATAAATAATTCCCCTTTCCCCCGTACCTGGATAAAAGTAGTTGAAACTAGAACAGAGATCTCCTTGGTCTCCTCCTCTGAGTGCCCCTCGATCTTCAGAGAGTGTAGAAGGAAAATAAGAGAATGTAGAAAAAAGAAGTCAGAACTGAAAAGTGTGATTTTGGGAGTGGCAGAGCAGTCTATTTATAAGCATCAGGCTTCGTCGGAACGACCCGTTTCAAATCCGGAACAGCCCGTTCTGGACTCTGACGGCATGTGTAAAATTCACATCCAGAACAACATGTTCTCAAACTAGAACGGCCTGTTCTGGGGTTGCACCTAACCCACAACGGCCATATCTGGAACGACCCGTTCTCAATTAGGGTTTTAGGCATTTTTTGTGATTTGGAACGCCCCGTTCCCATCTAAAATTTGTAGACAATTTTTGTATTTTGGAACGACCCTTTCTAGTTTGGGAACGACCCGTTCTGGGATACAAAATCACTCTCATTTTAGTAGTTTGGAACGGCCCTTTCTAGTTTGGGAACGACCCGTTCTAGGCTACTAATCACCCCTATTGAGTCTTTGGGCCCTCAAATAATCTGTGAAAATCGGGTTGTTACAAATAACACTTTCTTTAAGATGTCATTAGAAGAATGTTAATCTTGGATAAGCTTCAAGTTGGGATGATTAGTACTTTATTGAACTATATTTTTTTAAGTGTCCTTTTGATTGTATTTTCGTTGAAGTATTTATTTATATTTTGGTGGAGCTATAATGGTTAAAATTTAATAATACATAAAATAAATTGGGATTGCATCAAAGTTATTGATGACACTCATGTTTTCATATGAAATCTATAAAATCCTTTAAAATCTTATGATATAAATATATCAAAATTCGTTAAAATCCATTAAAATTTGAACTATAAAGTCTTTATTATAATTCATGTTTTAAAATTTTTTAAAAAAATTTTAAAAATCATAATACTTCTATTTTTTTTTAATTTATTAAAATTTTAAAAAAATCTTATTAAAATAATCTTGAAAATTTTAATCCAATTCGATTTAATTTTTTTTAATATGTAAATTTTTATTAACAAACCATGAAATGGATGGTTTCGAACATAGTAAAATTAATTTTTTTTTAAAAATGTGAGGTTATTTTTGCCTTAGAAAGAGAGCGTCCTCATTATCCGTACATAAATCTACATGATTTTGGGTTACATATTTATTTATGCCACATGATTACGAGACTAGCATGATTCATGAATGCATCATCATCATGATTAAATTCTACTAGTAACAAACACACCAATTACATGGACGTCACGTGGCACCCACCAAGCTAGGGCTTTTGGCATTTCGAACAATACAGAAGCCACAATCACTCCAAGCCGGACGATCAAACTCAAACCAACGTCTGAGATCTGGCAAAAGCCCCCTCCCCTCGATTTTGGACCCGCCAAACAAGGCATAACTAAACAAATAAATACCCACCAAAGCGTGAAAAGGTACCCAGACAGAGTTTCCTTCTCGCGGAAGCTAGGGTGAGCCAACGGCGAAGATAGAGTCAGATCGGAAGCGGAAGAAGGCGTCGACCTCGGCGGCGGATCGGAAGGAGA